TGAGAGGTGGAAGATGCAGGGGAACCCAGTGCCTCCCTACTCAGCCCGGCGCCAGCGAGCCGGTCCTCGCCCTCATTGCAGTTGTTGTGGGTGGTGCAGCACTTGAACACCATGTACTACCCATCATTGAACTCCCAGGTCCCCTTGCATATCTTGCTGGGCATAGCGCAGCCCATTACCTTCAGGCCCACCTGGTTGTCTGCTGCCAGCCCTGAGGGAGGGAAGCAGGGCTGAGCTCTGGGCACGTGGCTGCCCTCTGCCACCCCCCTTCCCTGCTGTGGGGCAGGCCTGAGGAGCCGGGCAGGAGGTGGCATCCCTCCCGCAGGTGGCTGTGGTGGGACACGGGATGCCCTTTGCTCAGGATAGGACAGAACAAGGCAGGAGAGGCTGGTCAGGAGCAGCTGTGGGCACGTACCTTGTGGGGGTTGTTACTCTCCTGCTCTTGGGGCCAAGATGGGATGAGGTTTCACTTGGTCAGCTACTGGGATCAGCATCAGCTGGCAGGTGAGAAGATAATGTTGGGAGAAAAAGGGAGGTGCTGTTGCCTTTGGCTGCCAAGGGGGAGAAGGCCCTGCAGGCAGAGCTACTGAGGGAAACAAGAACAGGACAGCAGGACACCTCAGTCCTTATGGGTCATGATGAAGATGGAGAGGCGGGATCTGGAGCATTCAGGCACACAGTTTGTCTCAGGGGGTACACAGGGCCCAGAGCATCGGCTAGAGAGAGACATGAGATGAGCGTGTCACACCATGGCCACCACACCAAACCACCTGCCAGCCCTGATCCCTCGTGTTGGCGGAGGCGTAGCAAAGCAGCTCTGCACTTGGGGTAACCGCAGGCTCCCGGGACAGAGTGGGTTGGTGACATGTGGATTGTGGCTGCTGCAGCAGTGGCTATTTGCGCCACCCCCACATGCAAACAGATTGCCCCTCTCAGTTATGCTACTTCCCAGTGGGCTTGCTTTGAGCATCACTCACCTCAACCTCCCTTACTTCAATCTGCCCCTGGCCTGAGGGCAGGATGAGTGTCTGGCGAATGACAAGCAAGGAGCATAGGTGCTGACATATTTTTGCCAGGGAGCCTAAGATGATGCCCCCACCACCATCACCGGGCAGCATAGCTGGAGCAGAGCCGAGCAGAGTCCATGGTGGGGGGCAAATGCCGGCTGCCCACTGCAGGCTTGGGACTGCCTCTCCTGCTGTCCTCGCCCTGGGAGCCCTGTGCCAGCCACGCTGCCATGGGGAGACAATTCCTGCCCTCCCTACCTCAAAAGCAGGACAAGCCCTATGTGTTTCACCTCAGTGCAGCTCCTGCTGATAGGACTTTCCTACAAGCACAAAACAGAACAGGGCACATGCAGTGAGGAGCAGGGCTCAGGCCATGCTGGGCTCCTCTGGGTCAAAGGCAGGTGCTGGGGCAGGGTAGGAGAGAGCTTCCAGGTGGTAGAAACTGCAGTCTGAAGTGACAGGATAGAGCGCCATGGACTAACTTTATCCTCCCAGAATACCCTGGGAGTTGGCACCCACAGGTAACTTCTTGGGAATGTGGGTAGACAGAGGTGACTGAGCAAGAGCTGCCCACGCAGAGAACAGTTCCTGCCTAGAAGGGATCCCCCCCAGGCATGGAGTCAGTAGCGTGGGCTGGGAGTCAGGACACTTGGACTCTATGCCCAGCCCTGACAAAAACATGAGCTCCAGGAGATCAAAGCTGAAGGACCAGGGGGAAGGACTCCTGGTTTCTGTCCTTGGCTTTGGGAGGGGAGTGGGGCCTAAAGTCAGGACAGATTTGTTCCAGTTAGACTAGGAACCCAGGAGGGAGGTCCAGTAGAGGTTCTCGCCCTCTTGTGGGGAAAATGACAATTCTGCCTTGTCCTATGAGAGAGGCACAACATGGGGTTACCCTCTCCCCAGGGCTGTCATCAAACTTTCAACTCAGGGCTCATTCATTTGGGACTAAGGCAGCCTGTCCCATTTGCTCTAAGCAGTATGGAGTCTTTGACAACAGAGCAGGCCTGAAGGTAGCCTGGGGTAGTGGGTAACATGGGGTAGTGGCACACACCACCAGAAAAACATCAAAGTGTGTGAGTTTCTGTAGTATTGTCCCATACAAGATGGAAGAGGCCTTGCTTTGCTATGTGCTCACCATGACTCTACCCTCTTATACATCTCTCCACTAGCCAGATATGTTCTGCCCACCCGAGGCACAGCTAGGTCCAGGACTCATCTGGACACCAGCAAAGATTCTGGTTCTCTTGAGCTGGCTGTGCTCTAGCAGGATCTCCTTGCTGCATCAGTTATAGAAAATGTGCTTTGTAAAGCAATGTTAAGTGAGTAACCTCTGTGTGGATCTGCTTCCCTTGTGGGATAGGGCTATTGCTGTATCTGAACAGAACAAAGTTGAGATGAGCTCCATGTAGCCAAGAATGGGTGATATCAGGGCCAGGAGACTGAGGTGGGACAGAGAAATGTAACTGCATCCTGGTGAGTGTGTGTGCCTACCAGGATTATAGGCCCTTCCAGTACCTTGCATTGCACCAAGCACCAACTTCAGAAAACCAAGGGAAACAAGAGATCTTATACATGCTACCCAGCCTCTGTCCTGTCCCTGCAGCTGCCAGTAGCTACTTGGAATTGCCTGCAAGCCTTCCTGCCACATTTTCTACAATAGGTGTGGCTGTCCCTTTGCTGTGCAGCCTGTGAGGAGCAGGTGGCCATTGGTGGTAATGGTGGGTTATCAATGTGAAGAGCCCAATGTCCGATGGCATTGTGGATATAGAGCTGGAGCAGTTGTTCAGTTAACCAGCTGGGGTGCTCTCTCTGCAGACCAGGCTTCATACTTCCCTGTAGGGCAGGTGTAGGCAGCTCCAGGTTAGTGCAGTGCAAAGCCACAGTGTGGTTGATGGGCACATGAGAAACAGTAGTCCCAGAGGGCAGTGGAGGTTGTGAGCCCTGGAGTGTGCAACACCTCTGCATTTTTGGGCAGGTCCAAACCCCATTGGTTTGGCCGAAGATCTTTGCTAGCACATGTCTATTTTTTTCTTCCGCTTCAACTCACAAGACCCCATTCTCTTCCCAGGGAGGAGAACAGAACACAGTTGTGGCTCCCAGCCTACTGCTCTGATCCAGATGACTTCCCTCCTTTCCCCGTGCTGGAGATTAAACCCAGTAACTGCTTCATTTGGAAAAAAAAAAGATGCACCGTGCTTTTTTTTTTTGTGGGGGTGGGGTATCTTTGTGTCTTAAGTGGCTCCTCACAGAGACACAGACATCACTTTAAGGGGCGATTACAATGTCTCCAACACTCATTGATCCACCCAAGCAGAAGAGAGGGACCTGTACTATGCCCAGTTCTAGGAAAGAAGTGAGGCCCAGTGGGCTCAAGCAGGAGGGGGGCGGGGAAGAAGACTGAGCGCCAGAATTCCCTGTGTGGATCGAGACAGGGCTGTGTGTGTCCCTCCTCCCACCCTGCCTTCCCTTCAAGACAGTTAGCTGGTGTGCAGAGACTGTCACCTGGAGATGCCCCATGTCAACTGCATCTCTGGAATCTTCAAATGCAATACCAGGGAAGGAGAGAAGTGCGTGTTCATTGTCATCAGTCACAACGAGGGGCTAACTGTTGTTGACCTTTCTGTTCTCCCCACCTATCTGCACCAAATCCTTTTCTTCTCTGGGGAAAAGTGGTGCTTGGCTGTCACCCTTGTGATCAAGCTCCGGGTTGTAACTGGGTCTCTGATCCTATCCTATCCCACTTCCCTGCTTTAGCCTACTAGAACTCACCTGCCTGCTAAGAGTTTAACCCCAGGTTTGGAACCCAGGATTACACTCCCCTTCCAGAACCAAGTATGAAGCCTAAATCCCTTAGGCCAAGGGGGCCTTGCCTGGGTGACAGGAGGAATCATGCATCTCCAGTTTTTCCTCCCCACTCATAGCAGGGTATGAGCTCAGTTGTAGCCCACGTGTACTTGGGTATGTACTCTTCTCTAATTGAAGGGGATTGTAAGCAGGGCAGGTATGCTGTGGGTGGAAACTGCAGACTAAAACAGTTTCCCTCTATTCCCTACAGAGCCAGGCCGATCTGGAACTATATAGAAATTTATTAATATTTACAGGTCATCAAAAGATAAACATAAATACAAACATAATAATATATGTACCTATAACTATAAACCTTATTCTCTATATATGTGATTGTTTACCACCACTGGAGTTGCAGGCAAGTACAGGTAGGAAGTAGGGAAGGGTCCCAGCAGGGCCCCAGCAAAGATCATACATTCTAAACTCTAATGAACTGTGAACTTACAAATATAAGCATGCACAAAATATACGGCACATAAGCATAAAAAAAACCCGTAACCCTTTAAATGCCCCAAAGCCCATCTGGTCCTGAGGCCTTGGCTGCACTCCACTGACTAGTGGGAAAATCCCTAGCGCCCTTCGGGCCTTCCACAAAACCCAAAGAAATCTCTGAACTCCAGGGGGCCTCTTTCCTTGGGCCTCCCTCCAGAAGCCCCACTTACTAGCCAGGAGGAATCTCCCTGCCCTCCATGGGATCCTTTTACTCAGTAACTCACAACTCCCCTTGGCCAAGATGCTTCCTCCTACGTGTAGCCTCCAGGGCCACTGGCTCCCTCTGGGTTGCTGCCCACTGGAGGCCCTGTGCACCATCTCATGCACCAAGCGCAGCGCCGGGGGTCGGCCCATGCCTGGACACTCCTGTAGTGTTGCCCGCATTGAGCCAACAGCCCTGTGCCAAAGGATGCAGACCTGAGCTGCCTCGCGCAGCTCCCAGGGTCTGGTTCTGCGCACCGCCCATGCACTGAATGTCTGGCCTTGTGCCAGGGGCTGCAGACCCAAGCTGCCTCAAGTGGCTCTCAGGGTCCCGATCCCTCCCAGACCACTCTGTGCCATGCTGCCAGCACTGTCTGCCTGGCCGCTTGCCAGAGGATGGGCACCCAAGCTGCCTCTGCAACTCCCAGGGACCCACTCTATGCACCAACTGCTGGGCCTTGTGCCAGGGGTTGCAGACCTGAGCCACTTCGTGCAGTTCCCAGGGTCCTGTTCCATGCACCAAGCCATGCACTGATGCTGTGCTTCTCACCAGGCCCTGCCAAGAGGTCTTTGGGCTCTTCTGAGCAACAGCTCCACCCCACTGGCCAGCTCTTCTTCACCACCGGGTGCCAGCATGTTGCTTTTATTCCCTCAAGAGGCGCGGCACCAAAGTGCAAATGGACCAATCAGGTTGAAGGGTGTAGACTTCAACCACTTCTGGGTCTTCCCTTAACCTGGGCAAGGGTGGGGCAAGCCCCTTCCCAGCACTTACCCGATTGGTGGGGAAAATCCACCAATCACAAGGAAGCTTCTCCAGCCTGGGGAGCCGGGCAGTTACCAGCAAGCTCCCCGTCTCGGCTGTGCAGCCCTCGCCTCCCCGGTGAAGGGCAGGCCCCAGGCCCAACACTCACGGGGTCAGGGGAGCAAAGATGGGCACCTGCCCAGGCACCCCAAGGGCATCGCAAGTGAGTCACCCGACTGGCCCCTGGTCCCGCTTGGGTCAGGGAGCGGTGTCCCGGGCACGGCTCCATGAAGACCCGGCGATGCAGGTCCCCTTTCGCTTAGGGCGTCTCCTCTCCTCGCCAGAGCAGGCGGCGTCTTTTCCGGATCCGCTCTCTCCGCCAGGCCTGGCAGGCGGGGCCTGTGTTCCCGTCACGGGGTGCAGGTTACCCCAGTCGTGGCTCCGGCCCAAGGGCCGGCGGGCGGGCGCGGCACCGGCAGCGCCGCGGGAAGCTGGCCCGGCAGCTCCTCCCTGCAGGGACGCCTAAACTGGACGCAGTGACGGACTGGCTCGGGGCCCGGAAGCTCCCCGCAGTGTCACCGGAAGTGCATTTTCTCCGCAGCAGCCAGGAGACGGGGGCCAAAGCAGGCGGTGCGGGGGTTCATAGTGGCTCTCACGCGCGGGCCGCAGCAGCTCCCCGGCCGGAAGTGAGCCTTCCGCGGCCGGAAGTCCAGTCCTCTCCCCTCTCCCACGTCAAAGGCCCCTTCGTGGAACGTACCAAACGCACCGGCTGCGCCCCGCGCCCTCCTGGAATGTACCGCACGCGGCCGTCCAGACGAACTACGTCACCAGGTGCACACACGCCGGGCCTGAGTCCCCCACCGCCTTTCTTGTCTGGGCTCTACGGAATTCATTGATTTCCCGCCTGCCGCGGGGGCTTCCCGCACATACCCCCCGCATCGCGGGGCTAGTGGTCCGTACCATTCATCCCCTCCCCCCTCTTTCGGACCGTACCACATGCGGGGGCCCCGCCCCCCTGCCGGAGAGGACCAAATCCCATCGCCTCTCTGTGGGCCGTACCAAAATGAGCAACCTCCCATCCAGACTTGAAGCCACCCCGCCCCCTTTCCCTTGTGGAACCGCCCAAATCACGGGTCCCGCCCCCCTCCCTCCTAGGGGCGTCCACGTGGAACATACCAAGTGCAGCGCGCCTCGGCCCTCCTGGGACGGACCAAACTAGCGCCCGGGGGACGCGGCCGGGCCCCGCGCCTGGGGCTTCAAAGTCACACCCCGCCCCCTCCCCCATGCTGCGGGCCGTACCACCCCGGCAGCGTCACCCCGCTTTTGGAACTTACCGAGATGAGCCCCGCCCCTGGCGCTGTTGCACGTGTTGGGGGTAACTGACGCCTCAACAGGAGAGGAGGGGATGTCCCCAAAAGGGAGGCAGTGCATTGGGGGTAGAGTGCCCCACCGGGGGGAGTGCAGTGCATAGGGCAGGGGCGGGCAATTATTTCGGACAGAGGGTCGCTTACCTCGTTTTTGCAAGCTGTCCAGGGCCGGATGGGTAGCCCCGCCCCTTCACAGGTGCCCCGCCCCCGGTCACTATCTTGGGACGCATAGCCCAGGGGCAGCACGGTGGGGCCCAGAGCAGGGTGTGATGTGTACCCCTGAAACTTTCATAGGTTTTTTTATACTTTGGTAACAGCTTTGTATGTTTTGAAAAAGTATTTTATCTAACCAAGGGCATAGAGTAGGTTGTTTAGGCTGGGGGAGATCGCTTGTTGCCTAGTTGCTTAATTGCTGGCCTTGCTAGAGGGAAAGCCATATCAGCAAGGTCCCTAAGGGGTTAGAAAGGGGGGTTACTGGCTGAGCTTGCTGAATAACAGGTGCCACATCAGCAAATTACACTGTCACAAAGGCAAGTTTAAACTGACTAGGGAGGGGTCCGTAGCTAGGGCGAAGTGCGCATGGACCAAAAGGGGCAACCTATAGTAACTGCATAGCGTGTAAGGCTAGAAGAGGCTATATAAGGCTAATGCCCACTGGGGTGGGGGTGCTTGCTTTGCGAACGATCGCCAAGCACCGCTTTCTGCGCAGAAATAAAGATTCAGTTGGATCCTTCACCCCCCCCCGTGTGTTTATTGGCACAAGCGCACCGGGCACGAACTCACTGTCCTTTGGGGACAACAGGTGCAACCTGGCAGGGGTCTGCGGAGCTGGGCGGGCAGGAGCAGCAAACACTGCCCAGCGCAGCAAGCAGGGTGGCCGCAGCTGCTTCTGCCCCGCGCAGCCCCGACGGGCAAGCCTGGAGCCGGCGTGGGGCCGGGTTACAAGCTGGGCTGAGCACAAGGGAAAAGTGGCCCCTCGCCCGCCCCGTGCTGCAGCCCTGCATGGGCTGCGAGCAGCTGCAGCAGGGAGCTCCAGGCATGGGCCGGGCGAGGAGGCGCTTTTCCCTGCGCTTTGCACCAGCTCCTTCCCTGCCGCCCTCCCCGCCAAGTTTCCCCGTGGGGGGCAGCCACCTGGTCCCCTGCTGGGGCTTCTGGCCAGGGGGGTGGGGCCGGGCGGACCCTGCTGTTGCAGGAGCCCGCCGAGGATTCCCCTGGGTCCTACTGCCCCTCCCTCCTGCCATTTTTGACAGGAACCAAGGACAGATAAATATTAATTTTCAAAAAAATGTTAGGGGCCCTGCAGGCCGGATAGAATGGCCTTGCGGGCCGGATCCGGCCCACGGGCTCTTTCCTACAAAAAAAGTCCCTCTGGAAAAAAGAGAGGGAGGCGGCAGTTGGGCAGGTCTGCTGTAATTGGTCCCAGGGGGCTGTGGGGCGAAAGGTGGAAGATGCAGGGGGGCCTAGTGCCTCCCTACTCAGGCCTGGTGCCAGTGAGCTCACTCTCGTCCTCGTTGCAGTTGTCATGGGTGGTGCAGCACTTGAACTCCATGCGGCGCCCACTGCTGAGGTCCCAGGTCCGGTCGCACTTCTTGATAGATGGGGTGCAGCCCATTATCTTCTGCTGCACCTGGTTGTCTGCTGCTGGCCCCGAGGGAGAGAGGCAGGGCTGAGCTCTGGGCATGTGGCTGCCCTCTGCCACCCCCCTTCCCTGCTGTGGGGCAGGAGGTGGCATCCCTGGAGGATGGGGCCAGGGCAGGGAAGTGTAGCAGAGCTGGTTGGCTTTGGCCAGGAAAGCAGCACCAAGGGAGCCTGCGAAAGTGGCTGCGGTGGGGCACAGGATGCCCTTCGGACAGGATAGGACAGAACAAGGCAGGAGAAGCTGGGTAGGAGCAGCTGTGGGGTTGCTATTCTCCTGATCTTGGGGCCAAGATATGATGAGGTATCACCTGCTCAGCAGGGCCGGATTTAGGCACAAGCTAAGTAAGCTACAGCTTAGGGCCTCACATTATGAGGGGCCTCTAGATACGAAAACAAAATACAGTAAAACCTCACAAATCCGGCATGCTTGGGACTGAGCACATGCCCGAAATTTGAAAATGCCATTTTTTTTAAACTGGCACTGCAGCTGGTCATGGAGCTGGAAAGGGGTGGTGAGGTAGTGGTAGCTTGTCCCAGAGCACCAGACACATGCAGAGCAGCGGCGTGGGTTGCTTAATGGAGGTGGCAGCAGCCATGTGCAAGCTTCACCCCCCGCTTCCGGGCCAGTAATGCTATGGGGCCTCTTAAATTTGACATAGTTTAGGACCCCAGCATGTCATAATCCAGCCCTGCTGCTCAGCTACTGGGACCAGCATCAGCTGGTAGGTGAGATGATAATGTTGGGAAAAAAAGGGAGGGGCTGTCACCCTTGGGTTTGTTTGGCAGGCAAGGCGGAGAAGGTCCTGCAGGCACAGCTACTGAGGGAAACAAGGACAGGGCAGCGGGACACCTGGGTCCTTACCGGAGAGGGTGAGGACAGAGAGGCAGGCTCCAGAGGCTTGGGCCACACAGGTCTTCTCAGGAGGCATACAGGGCATCCCGGGGAGCACAGAGCTGCAGAGCCGGCACTTCAGAGCATCAGCTAGAGAGAGACATCACATGAGCATCTGTCACACCATGGACACCACCGCCTGCCAGCCACAAACCCTCATGCTCGCAGAGACGTACCAGGGCAGCTCTGCACTCTGGGCAGCTGCAGGCTCCCGGGACAGAGTGGGTTGGTGACATGCAGATTGTGGCTGCGTGATCAGCTGCTGCTGCAGCGGTGACTATTTGCACCACCCTCGCATACAAAGGGATTGCCCCCTTCAGTTATGCTACTGCCCACTGGGCTTGCTTTGAGCATCACTCACCTCAGCCTCCCCTATTCCAATCTGCCCTTGGCCTGACGGCAGGAGGATGGTCTGGCAGATGACAAGCAGGAGGACAGGTACTGATTTTTACTATTTGCCGTGGGGCCTAAAATGATGCCCCCCGGGCAGCACAGCCAGATTAGAGGTGATCAGAGTCCGTGGCAGGGGACAGATACTAGCTGCCCACTGTGGGCTTCGGGCTCCCTGCCTTGCAGTCCTCCCCCTGGGAGCCCTGTGTCAGCTGTACCGCTATGGTGAAACAGCCCATGCTGAGCTGGCAGCAGTGGGGAGCACCTGCTTCCACCCCCCGTGCACAAATCCAGGGGGGCACGTGCTTCCCCACACTGCCCTCCCTGGGAATGAGCACAGCAGCAGGGAGCACCCCCCCAGCCACCTGGATGAGCTGCCCATGGCTCTGTCCCACACCCCAGCCCCAGATCCCATGCACCTCCCTGCCTGGGCAGTGCCCCCAGGCCCAGCCCCTGCCCCACTCCCTCCTTTACCATGCAGTCCTCAATTTGCCCCTCCCTGCTATAGACTTACCAGCTGGCAACTGCGGGAGCTGCTCTCCACCACTGCCTAGGGCTGTATTCCTGGCCATGTGCACATATGCATACGCACATGTGTATGTGGTGCCCCCTGCATCCCACTCCCCGTAGCCCCTTGCAGACTGGAACTGTCAGCCTGCCAGGGGAAATCTGTTGTTTCCCATATTTTTCCCCAGTGAATGAAAAAGCCGCATCCCAGCATGATACTGGAAATCCGGGACAAATGCTATCCTGGAATCATGCAGCCTAAGGTCGGGACTTACTGTTCCCATTTCAGAACTGTCCCACCAAGTAGGAATGGGTGGTCATCCTACCCTCGTCCTGAGGGGCCCAGAGCCCTTGGGCCCCTATGTACTCAGCACCTATAAGCAGGAGGTAAACTGTGGATCAGGGCTCCTGGACCCTGTGCTCCACTTAGGAAGCTCTGCGTTCCACTCCCTACCTCAAAAGCAGGACAAGCCCTGTGTGTTTCACCTCCAAGTGCAGCTCCTGTGGGTAGGACTTACCTACAACCACGAGACAGAACAGAGCACAGGCTGTTAAGAGCAGGGCTCGGGCCATGCTGGGCTTCTCTGGGTCACAGGCAGGCACTGGGGCAGGTAGGAGAGAGCTTTCAGCTGGTAGAAACTGCAGCCTGAAGTTAAAGGGGAGGGACAGTCATGGACCAGCTTTATCCTCCCGGAATACCCTGGGAGTTGGCACCCACAGGTAACTTCTTGGGAATGTGGGTGGACAGAGGTGACTGAGCAGAGACTGAGCAAGAGCTGCCCACGCAGAGAACAGTTCCTGCCTAGAAGGGATCCCCCCCAGGCATGGAGTCAGTAGCGTGGGCTGGGAGTCAGGACACTTGGACTCTATGCCCAGCCCTGACAAAAACATGAGCTCCAGGAGATCAAAGCTGAAGGACCAGGGGGAAGGACTCCTGGTTTCTGTCCTTGGCTTTGGGAGGGGAGTGGGGCCTAAAGTCAGGACAGATTTGTTCCAGTTAGACTAGGAACCCAGGAGGGAGGTCCAGAAGAGGTTCTCGCCCTCTTGTGGGGAAAATGACAATTCTGCCTTGTCCTATGAGAGAGGCACAACATGGGGTTACCCTCTCCCCAGGGCTGTCATCAAATTTGCAACCTATGGCTCATTCATTTGGGACTAAGGCAGCCTGTCCCATTTGCTCTTAACAGTATGGGGTCCGTGACACAACAGAGCAGGCCTTAAGGTAGCCAGCATGGGGCAGTGGCACATACCACCAGAAAAACATCAAAGTGTATGAGTTTCTATAGCATTGCCCCGTACAAGATGGAAGAGCCCTTGCTTTGCTGTGTGCTCACCATGACTCTACCCTTCTATACATCTCTCCGCTAGCCAGATATGTTCTGCCCTCCCAAGGCACAGCTGGGTCCAGGACTCATCTGGACACCAGCAAAGATTCTGGTTCTCTTGAGCTGGCTGTGCTCCAGCAGGATCTCCTTGCTGCATCAGTTGTGGAGAACATGCTTTGTAAAGCAATGTTAAGTAAGTAACCTCTGTGTGGATCTGCTTCCTGTGAGGAATGGGGATATTGCTGTGTCTGAACAGAACAAGGTTGAGATGAGCTCCATGTAGCCAAGAATGGGCGATATCAGGGCCAAGAGACTGAGGTGGGACAGAGAAATGTAATTGCATCCTGGTGAATGTGTGCGCCAGCTGGGATTGCAGGCCCTTCCAGCACCTTGTATTGCACCAAGCTCCAACTTCAGAAAACCAAGGGAACGAGATCTCATATGGCCTACCCAGCCTCTGTCCTGTCCCTGCAGCTGGCAATAGCTACTTGGAATTGCCTACAAGCCTTCTGGTTCCTTTGTTTACGACAGGTGTGGCTGTCCCCTTGCTGTGGGGCCTGTGAGGAACAGGTGGCCATTGGTGGTAATGGTGGGTGATCACCATTGTCAAGAGCCCAACACCTGATGACATTGTGGGTATAGAGCTGAAGTATTTGTTCAGTTAACCAGCTGGGGTGCTTTCTCTGCAATCCAGGCTTCATACTTCCCTGTAGGGCAGGTGTAGGTGGCTCTGGGTCAGTGCAGTGCAAAGCCACGGTGTGGGTGATGGGCAAATGAGAAGCATTGTTCCCAGAGGGCCGTGGATGTTGTGTGAGCCTTGGGGTATGCAACACCTTTGCATTTTTGGTCATGTCCAGCTTCCATTTCTCCAGAACCAAACCCCCCCAGGACTTATGCAGGGCTTAATCAATTGAACCTACATATCCCCACAAGGACTCTCCATTTCCTGTGCAGGTGGACTCAATACAAACCCCTTTCAGCAACCCCATCCACCCATGCAAAATGGCTGTTGGTCCTTCCTGACAAACACCTTGACAGTAATGCAAGGTTTGGAGCTGAGGCTCTGGCAGCTTATTTGGAGAGGACAAGGCCACTCTGGATCAGTGCAACTGCAGGGCATCAGCTGTAGAGGAACCAGTGGATGGACAACCATCGTTCCAGTTCTGGATCCCTCAATCACCCGCTGATACAGCCATCCTCTAAGCATGGTCTCACTGGAATACCGTAAGCATCACCCACCTCCTGGCCTTGCCAGGGGCAACCTCCTCTTCTTGCCTTTAGAAAGACTGAGGGGTCCGATGGGGCAGAGGGAGTGGGAGTGAGGACTCCTATGTTATATCCTGAGCTCTGGGACAGGAGTCGAGTCCACGGAGTCAGAACAGGGGTGTCTGGGAGGCAGGACTTGATCTTGTGGGAGGGTGGAGTCTAGTGTCTTTAGAACAGAGAGTTGGCACTCTGGAGTCCTGGGTTTTGTTTCTAAGCTATGCTAATCATGACATAGGTTTTCTGTACTTAGCCTCACACTGTTAGCTGTAAACACTCTTGCTAGAAACTGGAGTTGGTGGGACCTGATCAGCTGTTCCATGATACTCTGTGGCACAGATGATCATGCTCCATGGACGTCTATACAGTATATGTCCCTGGTTGCCTTGCCATGCCCTGACTTGGGGCATGTCTGCAAGCAAGGTAAAACCCCACCACCTCCCATGTCAAGGAGGTGGCCCCTGGGAGAGTACCTCACTCTGCACTTGCACTGTACATGCAAGGAAATCCTTCTGCAAAGTGTTTCTCCATGTGTGTCTGCAAGTGCCGGGGGGGGGCGGGGGGCTAGGACTTTCACAGGGCCCCCCCTTCCCTGTTTGCAGGCAAGTGTAGAGAAATCCCTTTCCAAGGGATTTCCTTGTGTGCAACAGCAAGCGCTGAAGCAAAGGGAGCTCCCATAAGGGGGTCCCCCCTCCATGTTTCCAGCCCATGCTCCACGTTTCAACCTGCACAAGTTCTTCCACCATAAGCCAACAGATACGGGCTACAATAAGGTGGCCCAAATTATTACTACCTGTTGCAACCACAAACCTGAGCTTTTGTGCTGTGACAAGATATGGGCCTCTGTTTTCTTTCATTTTACATCATCAAACAAAGGTGACATCTGTTTCTACCCCCTGTTCCTTTTTGGAACTGACCCAAAGCAGCTTGTTTCTAAGGCCAAACTCTTTATTCCCATGTTAATGGGCTTGGTGTGATCCTTTCCTGAGGCTGTTTGAAGCCTCCTTCCTCAAGGAGCAAGGCGGCAGTCTCAGTGGGCTGATGAGCACTGACCCATGACATGTTAAAGGATGCTGTGCATGGAGATGACATGGGCTTGTGAGCACTGACCCATAACATGTTAAAGGATGCTGTGCTGGAGATGTAGACCCCAACTGCATCTGACTCACCACTGACTCTATACTGGTCATGTACTAAGCCTGGCAAAGGAACCCAGCAGTTCAGTCTCCCAACCCCTGCCCCATTTCCCACCCCCGGAACTAGATCCCATTCCCATTTTAGAGTTGAGGATGAAACCCACAGTCCTGGCTCCTGGCCCCACTGCTCACTTTGTGCCTGGAGGCGATCTCCTCTGCGTACAGAGTGCTCTGTGTAAGCAGCTATTGCTCAATCTTTTTGCTCAGCCAGCTATGTTCACTAGGCCTGTGCAAGTAGGCAGCTATTTGATCCAGCCTCAGATCCGGCCACTTCAGCTGCCAGGGATCCAGTCCGGAGCTCCAGATCAGTTTCCCGCTTCAATCCGGCTGAAGTGGCTCCAAAGCTTCGAAGCCGCCTCGGAGAGTTGGCCATAGGGTATAATGGGGAATCAACAAAATATCTATAACTTTGTTGTTTTTTGTCTGATTTGGATGTACCTTGTAGGGATCATAGCCTCTGCTGAGAGCATGAAGCCTGCCAAATTTCAAGAAGATCAGTGTTGGAGTTTGGGGGGAACTGCACCCCGAAGCCTTGAAAGCAAAACTTATGTCACATATGTGTGTTACACCACAGGGTGGTGAAAACTGCAGGGGTGGTGGCTCCTGCTGAGGCCACAAATCCTGCCAAGTTTCAAGGTAATAGGTGCAGGGGTTGGGGGGAACTGCACCTCAAGCTGCTGACAGGCAAAACTCATGACATAGATGACCCTGTGTGTGTTAAGGCTCAGCGGGCTGAAAACTGCAGGGGTGGTGGCCCTCTAGACTGAGTCCGGCGCTCCAGATCAGTTTCCCGCTTCAATCCGGCTGAAGTGGCTCCAAAGCTTCAAAGCCGCCTCGGAGAGTTGGCCATAGGGTATAATGGGGAATCAACGAAATATCTATAACTTTGTTGTTTTTTGTCTGATTTGGATGTACCTTGTAGGGATCATAGCCTCTGCTGAGAGCATGAAGCCTGCCAAATTTCAAGAAGATCAGTGTTGGAGTTTGGGGGGAACTGCACCCCGAAGCCTTGAAAGCAAAACTTATGTCACATGTGTGTGTTACACCACAGGGTGGTGAAAACTGCAGGGGTGGTGGCTCCTGCTGAGGCCACAAATCCTGCCAAGTTTCAAGGTAATAGGTGCAGGGGTTGGGGGGAACTGCACCTCAAGCTGCTGACAGGCAAAACTCATGACATAGATGACCCTGTGTGTGTTAAGGCTCAGCGGGCTGAAAACTGCAGGGGTGGTGGCCCTCTAGACTGGGTCTGGCCTTTGGACTCTGTCTCAGTGGTCTAAACGGGGGATGGTAGGTCTAGGGCAGCGTCCATTCCTCCATGTTCTTGCCTAGGCGGACGCACTGAAGGTCTTGCTGTGATGGTAAGATCTTGGTGTGATGATTGCATGGACCTCTTGCGCGCAAACCCTGATCTAGAGGGTTGACAGTTGCCAAGATATCCAGGCTCTGATCAAACTGGTCATCTGTTTTTAGCCTAGGGGTCATGGATCCCCACCATCCCCCACTTCAACCCACAGGACCCCATTCTCCTCCCAGGGAGAAGAGAATAAAGGTGGTCTGGCTCCCAGCCTGCTGCTCTAATTCAGTTGACTTCCTAGTGCTGGAGATTGAACCCAGTGACTGCTTCATTTGGAAAAAACAATGCACCATCCTTTTTTTTTTTGGTGAGGGTGGGGAGGAGGGCATGTGCAGACGACACGGGCGTTAATGTAGAGCACCTGAAAATGTTAACGTGCTTTTTTTTGGGTGCGGTGCATTTTTGTTTGCACAACACAGCGTTTGATGTTCGCGCAAACGGCGCTTTCAAGCAAGTTCAGCCCTGTGTGTCATTCCCTGCAGATTTCAGTAGAGGGAGTCAAATACCAGTTTACCCCCTAGAATGTCTT